GATCCTGATAATGATGGAGATATTGTTCATTATGCTTTTTTTGCATATTGTGATCCAATAGTGTTCGAAGAAGTATCTAATGATGATCGGTGGATTAAAGCAATGGATGAAGAAATTTTTGCTATTGAGAAGAATAATATATGGGAATTAACTACTGTACCGAATGGAAAGAAGCCAATTGGACTCAAATGGGCATACAAAACAAAGTACAAGCCTAATGGAGAATTGGAATAGTTTAAAATAAGGCTAGTTGCAAAAGGATACAAACAAAAGTCAGGTATTGATTACTTTAAAGTATTTGCTCCTATTGCTAGATTGGATACTGTGCGTATGATTATTTCACTTGCTACCCAAATTGTTGGAAAATATATCAAATGGATGTGAAGTCAACATTTTTAAATGGTGTACTCGAAAAAGAAGTGTACATTAAACAACTACCTGGTTATGAAAAGAAATGCAAAGAAGATAAATTTTATCAGTTGAAAAAGACTTTTTTTGGGCTTAAACAAACGCTAAAGGGCATGATACACTCGTATTGACAACTATTTTCTTGATTATGGTTTCCAAAAGTGTCCGTACAAACATACTCTATATATAAGACAAACAAGACTGGAGATATTGTTGTTGTTTACCTTTATGTAGATGATTTGATCTTCACCGGTAATAATTCAAGACATTTATCAGAATTCAGGGAGGATATGATTGCCCACTTTGAGATGACAGATATGAGGTAAATGTCTTACTTTCTTGTTATTGAGGTCAATCAAACAGATACATGTATATTCATTTCTCAAAAGAAATATGCAGGAGATATCTCGAAGAAATTTAAAATGGAAACATGCAAACCAATACTAACACTAGTGGAAGAAAGGTTAAAGCTTATAAAAGACGGAAGCACTAATGTAGTTGATGCAACAAATTTTAGGAGACTTATTTAGAAGCTTGAGGTACTTAACAGCAACTGGACCTGACATTGTTTATGGAGTTGGTATTGTAAGCAGATTTATGGAATCACCAAGACAGTCTCATTGGCAAGTTGCAAAGAGAATATTGAGATATATTGAAGGAACGCTTGATGATGACATTCTTTATTCAACCACTAACAAGATAGAATTAATTGGGTATACAGACAGTGATTGGGCAGATGATACGAAAGAAAGAAAAAGTACTTCAAGTTATGTATTTAATCTTACTTCAAGTGCATTTTCTTAATCCTTTAAAAAACAACAGGTAGGAGCGCTTTCAACAACAGAAATAGAGTATATAGCAGCTGCAAATTGCGCTGCTCAAACAATTTAGCTGCAAAGGATGCTTAATGAGTTGGAACATCGGCAAGATGGTCCAACAACAATCTATTGTGATAATCAATCAACTATTGCTTTAATAAAGAATGCAGTGTTTCATGGTCGTAGGAAGCACATCGATATCAAACATAATTTACAACCGTGACTTAGTGAAAGATAAAGAGATTGTGATTGAGTACTGTGCATCTGAAAATTAAATTGTAGATATTTTTCACAAAAGCCACTCAAAGCATATATATTTATTAAGTTAAAGAAGATGTTGGAGATTTAGTTAAATCAAGTTTAATGGAGGGTGGTTGGATGCTTTAAACTTGATTAAATTAATGCTAGAAATTAAAACCTTTAATTAATTAACAATAAAGAGAGGCAAAAGTGAAGCGTCAACAATAAAGAGAGGAAATAAATGACAATAATAAAGAAAATGAAAGGCAAAACGACAACTTTTCTACTTATATAAATAGATGTAGGCAAAAGAGAAAATAAAGACAACTGTGAGGAAAAGAAAAATATTGGGGACGTGAGATGAAATAAATTAAATGAGAATTATTAGTTTCAACAAGCTAATACATAACAAATTTGATGTGTGAAATTTTATCTTTTGAGTATTGTAAAATTTATATTCTTTATATCAATAAAATTTTGATTGTTTATTTGATTATAAATTTATTCTTTATACAATTATAACAAAATTAAATTGCCAACAGTAATCATTAATACTACTAATGATTATGTTATGCGTCATTAAATTGAACACGGACATGATTTATTAATTTTTGACATGAGATATCGAATATTATCAGATGTAGCATTTGATATTACAAAAATTTTAAATAATATTTTAAAATAAATTAATTAAAATTAATCTTTTCTTTATTTTTCCCAATACTTTCTCTCATTTTTTCTTTCGTTCATTCTTCTTAAACACAAAAATAATAAGGTAAATCCCACTAAATCTCAAAAGTCGTAAAGAAAAAAAAACAATAATAACATAAATTATGAAAAAACGAAAATTAATTAACAAATAACAAAACACATAAATTAATTGTTCCCGGCTGCTGCTTCTCCGATCGAAGCACAACCACTCACGGCTCTACAAAACCCTGCGGCTCCTTCTCTATTGTTTGGTACGCCAATTTCCTGTCTTCATCTTTCTGCCATCTTCGATCAGCAGAAATGCTCTTGATGTTCACTTCTTTTTCTTCCTTTTTTATTTTAATTAGAAAAGAAGCAAAAATTCAATTTTTGTTGGGCCGGTCCGTCAATCCATAATCGGGTCAATTATGAAATTACAGCGGCCCGAATCAATCCATTAAAATTTCCTTATCTAAACAAATCAAGAAGACCAGAATTCTGACCCTCCAGATTTTGGGGGGTAAAATCATTCGGCGTTGGCGATTTCAGACATACCTTTTTCTTTCCTTTTCTTGGCATTTTTCTTCCTTCCCAAACTAGCATGGCGGGAACGGCCGCCTTCAGTGTTTCTCCGCGTCCTTCTTTCTTCTATCGTCCATTTTCAGCTGCATCACTTTTTCCTTCATCGTCTAAGCCGTGCATTCTTCCAGTGCTGTCTGTTCCCAGAATGCCCTTGCGTCCCAAATTTCCTGGTAATTTTCTGATACTCCGTCGTTTTAATTTGTCAAAAGCAATTTGACTTATATATTTTATGATGATTTACTATCTACAGAAATTTTTGTGCTAGACTTCTTTTGCATTTGATTGCAGGAATTTACGCATTGTCTAGCAACGATATTAAAGTGGGTACTAACATTGAAGTTGATGGAGCTCCGTGGCGTGTTTTGGGTATTTTCATCATCTTCTGGTTTAAAAGGTTCTATTAACTTTATATAGTAGAGATAGTAATTGCTATGTATGATTCTTTTTATTTAGCCTTAGGAGGGATGTGAAGCTGCAAAAGAGGATTTAGTAGATTTCTTGAAATATTTTTTTAGCTTTTGTGATTGCTAAATTGTTCCTGTTTCTGTTGGCTTCTACCCCAGCTATGGTTCCCAGTTTGCATTCTCTAATTGTTTGGTTGTATAGAGCTTAGTTAATGCTGTTCATGGGAAAGTAATACTTGTATTCTAATAAATGCCCTATTTAGACATCCAATTCTCAGCTCCTAAGTTTCTTTCTTGTTTGTCTTTCTAGAGTTTCTTCATGTGAAACCTGGGAAAGGGGCAGCATTTGTCAGGACAAAAATGCGTAATTACGTAACTGGGAACACGGTTGAGAAAACTTTCAGAGCTGGAAGTACGGTAATCTGCTTCTCAAATGCACAAAAAAAAAAGTGCTAAATTCTCGTTTAATTTAGTTTGCAATGGCCAGAATTCACAAGCAAGACAGACGTTGCATTTCTTTTTGGACTCTGTTTCTTTGGGAATTCCACTCAAACTGTGGCCATGAAGCTTTCGTGGAAGATAAATCCTGTGTTTATGACAATGAAAATGAGGACTTTGTAACATGATTGAAGATATATACCTGACAGTTCTTTTTGCTCAAAAAATCTAACAGTGACTCAATTCAAGCTTGACTAAACCAACATTTCTACTTCTCAAATATATGCTTCGACCATGAACCCATAATAGCAGGAAATTAGGTAATTGAGTATATATATTTACTATTTGGCAGAAAGAGAATCTTCGGAAGAATTTTGTTTATTATTGATAACGGGTGATTTGGACAACCTCAAAATGATGGATCATGGATGCTTTTCTGCATTGGAAATGCTGCTTTACGAACCATTTTTAGCTCTTTTATGACTATAACGGCCTCTTCAATGCCTCAACATGCATGTCTTTTTGTAGATTGATGAAGCAGATGTCTTCAAGGAAACAAAGCAGTTTACATACAAAGATGGTTCCCAATTTGTCTTCATGGATTTGGTAAATTTCAAACCAATATAAGCTTCTAATGAAGGAATTTCTGTCTCTTGGATTTCCATTTATTTATGTAATATCACTCCCTCTCTCTCATTTTGACAGTCAGTGCATTTCAGATGTCCCAAAAACATGTAGATTTTGAAAAATGAAATTTTCGTCTAATATTTTCAAGTTATAATTCTTTTGTTTGTTTTTTAATCCAAATCATGCATGTATAAAAGTAAGAATTAGGAATTGATTTTCCTAACAGAAAAGTCTCTTATAATGGGCATCAAAATGGGACAGGGGGACTGAGTGAGTAATCAGGTATATAATTGCCAGTCAACCATTAGCTGTAGTATACATCGGAATAATTTCTGTTCCCAGGGTTTCGAGCAGATTCTGTTATAACAATATGTTGTTTTAATTACCATATCTTATTTATATGTTTTATTTGCACACAGACTACATATGAAGAAACTCGTCTTGGAGAGTTAGAGGTTGGAGACAAGACAAAGTGGCTGAAAGAAGGAATGGATTGCAATTTGCTGTTTTGGAACGGAAAGGTTGTTTTCAAGTTCTTATAATTGTTTTATAGTGTTTTCTGTCATTGACTTCTCAAAAGACTTGGGTTCTTAGGTGACTGACATATTTATAAACAGTGTTAAACGTTTATGTGAAAATTGAAGAAGCCTGAGTTTGTGTGGATGGTTATTAACTATTGTTCATTCTGGAGATATGCTTAGAATCTATTTTTTTATTTGCTTGCAGGTTATTGATTTTGAACTACCAATCACAGTACAGCTAACCGTGGTTGATGTTGATCCTGGCCTTAGAGGTGACACTGCTCAAGGTAATTTGTCTTTGTTTTTCATTAGAAGGTAAATTTTCTTTCATAAATGGCAAAAATGAAGAAAGATGAACTATGAAATCATATCATTTTTCTACGAAGTAACCTTTTTGATATTTCCTATCGATTCCGCTTGATATACAAAAATATAATTATATTTAGACAGATGGATAAGACTTAACCGGATCCATTATTCTGGGAAGAAACTGACTCTTGGATTCGATACTTGGGCTCCACAAGATCATGCTGCCTACTTCATTTTTATGACTGATAGTGCAAGGTTTTATGACTTATTTTCACATTACGTACCTTCTGAGAGTGAAATGTTGTGGCAGGAGGGTCAAAGCCAGCAACTCTTGACACTGGCGCGGTGGTTAATGTTCCACTATTTGTTAATATAGGGGATGAAATATTAGTAGATACAAGAACAGGTACATATATGAGCCGTGCATAAAGTTTTTGAGTTTGGAGAGTTGAAGGAAGGCTTTTGTTCTATTTTTGTCACTTGTCGTCCTTGATAGGAATGAACTTCCCAACTGTGGTATGCTATCCAACTGATATTTTACATAATCTGTCCTCTTAAATCCCACTATGTTTTCTCATATTTTTCTACTTCTACTTCTGCTGTGGAAGTTTGGTCAAATGATATAAAGGATGAATTCTTTTTGGTAAAAACAGAAGTTAGTTTTTTGCTCTTGATAAAAAATGAAAACTAGAAACTGGAAAATAACTTGTATTGGAGGAGAGGTAAGTAGTATTTTCAATAATTATATTTTTTATTTATTATAAATTATTTGAAAATTAATATGTATTCGGAATAAACTAAATTAAATAATTATATAAAAGCGAATAATATAAAATAATTTTAAAAAAATAATATTGTCTGAATAACTATTATGTTATTTTTCATCATTTTTAATACTTATTATTAATTTTATGACATAATTAATTAAATATTTATGTTAAAACCATTGTTTTTATTAATCATTATATTGTTTTTTTTTTTTTTTTTTTTTTTTTTTTGAAAAAAAAAAAAAAAAATAGATTTTTTGTGCAAATGAAAAGTAAGAGAGCATTAAAAAAAAAAAATTTAAACTCAGAATGGTAGCGTGATTTTTGCTCTACTTATGTGTATTAGCTTTTGTGTGATATAAGGAAGAATGTAATAATGGCTCCTTTTCTTCCTCCAATGAAAGAAGAATCAGTCTTCAGATTATTAATTTGGAGTGAATTTTACATCTACCACTTTTTAAATTATGACTTTCTAAAATTTTCAGTATTAACATTTTCCTTAAAAAAAAAAAAAAAAAAAATTACCCTCAAATACTAATAAAAACCCAATTGAATTCATATAAAATTTCTGAATTTTTAATTTTCATCATGAAGTTGCTAACAACTTCCCAGTCTCAATAATAATAAATTTACCAATACTGACAGCATTCTTGTGGATGAAGAATAGATGGTGTCTATTAATTACTGCTTTCACTTGGCCTTTTCAGTTTCCATGGAAGATGCCTCGTGAATAAAATTTACACACACACACACACACACATATATATATATATATATATAACATCTGTGCGTAGGAGAGGATATATACGTATACATATACACGGGTTGGTCGCATAATCAATAGATATGCAAGTGAAAGACATGAGATTGGGTGGTGCAAATGATGAGAAGAAGGCAAATGGGAAGGAAATAGAATCAGTTGAGAGGAGGTTCGGAGACGAGCAGAGCACATTGTTGGACCAGTTCGAGAGGTTGTCTGTGGAGGTTCAACTTAAACGAGCCATGCTGGGCCGGAGCCTCTCCGAGCCGAGCACCGCAAGCTCCTCCTACTTTCTCCAATCTCATCCGCCACCACCGTTGCAGTCGTTGTTCAAAGAGCGTCGTAGCTCTGGTCTCAACAAGCTCTTCAAAAGGCTCTTTCGACCATTTTTCCGTAGCAAAAAAGGTAATTCGAATGGAAGCAATTCCAACCAGCTTAATTCTGATCTTAAGAATTGGAAAGCTTTTAGTAGATCTATGCGGTTTTAAGTACTTTTCATATCAATCTCTGCATATTGAAATTAAATTTATATTTATTGCGCACACAGGTGATTAAAAGAAGTAGAATAAGTTGTAACTTTTAAATCACAAGTTACCATTTGCTCGTACCACTACAGGATTAAGTGATTTTTGTTCTTCTTTCTCTTTCTAAGTACTTGAGCATTTGTTCTCCTGTAAACATTCTCATACTATAAACAAATTATATGTATCTACACACACACACACACACACAAACACATGTATATAAATTATTTTTTGGGCATCATTACTGCAAAATGTGTAATTTATGTTTTTTTAGGTTAGCATGCTATCATTAAATGATGACAGAGAAATTATATTAGGGCAAAAAAACAGCAACCTCTTAATCAGATAATCCCAAATGATATTATAAGTATTTATATTTTTTATATATCGTTAAAAAAAATGTAAAAAAGAAATTAAGAAAAAATGAAAATAATATATATGTAGAAATAATCAATACTAATAATAGTCTCAAGAAAAGTAAACACAGAAAAAAAAGCTGAAACTAAACAAAAAATAATAAAACAGAAAATAAATTGATGTCATTGGTATAAAAATAACTTAGTAAATTTGTGCACTAAATTTGGCTCCATTAGTTACAAAAGACAACACTAATGCAAAAAATTCAAGTTCTTGTAAATCAATTTAAATTACTTACATACATATAATTTTGATAAAATAAAATTTTCTATTAAAAATTAATTCAAGTTCTTGTAATTTATTTTATCATCAATTTTCCAAGTTGTCTTATTTAATTGAATATTTGTGGAGTATCTTCAAATTATAATAAAAGTTAATTTTTCATATAAAATTTGATTTATTAAAAGGACAACATTATCATCTTTAATATCATAATAAATATTTATCCCAACAGAATGATGAGTGGGGAAAGGGGGCTGAAATTGTTGACTTCATCCGATTACACAAGTAAATCGTCACAACTTCATTCATGTCTTCCCCGTCACAACTTCAATCTACTTTCCTTCAATGTAGCAACAGTATCAGAATTAATCAGAACGATATCCGACGTTCAAAGCTGCTCGTTCCGAAATCCCAAGTCTTACCCATCAAACAAGCTAGTTTGAATCTTGACGTGAGAGTACAAAATCTCGTGGAGAAAATCAGAGCATCACCTTCAAAAGAGATGACTGATATTCTCAGAATCATTGAAAATGATACAGGGAAGACCAAATGTGTTCTAGATCGGGTCATTGAAATTGGGTATCACCCAGATGTTTCAACAATCACCGTTGTTATAAATTTACTGTGTAAAAAGGGTAAAGTGCAGAGAGCTTTTGAGGTTCTTGAGGTGATGGATAGAATTGGATGTAAACCCACAGTACAGATATACAACTGCTTGTTAAAAGGGTTGTGTTATGTTGGAAGAGTTGAAGAAGCATACGAAATGTTGATGAACATCAAGAAAGGTTTAGTCAAACCCGATATCTATACATACACAGTAGTAATGGATGGGTTTTGCAAAGTGGGTAGATCTAACGAGGCAGTGGAGTTGCTTCATGAAGCCATGGAGGTAGGATTAGAACCAAATGTCGTCACTTACAACACTCTGTTCACTGGGTATTGTAAGGAAGGGAGACCATTAAAGGGTTTTGGTGTTTTAAATCATATGAAGGAGAGAAATTGCAGGCCTGACTTTATTAGTTACAGCACCTTGCTAAATGGGTTGCTGAAATGGGGAGAAGTGAAGGCGGCATTGAAGATTTATGAAGAAATGGTGAGGATTGGGTTTGAAGTTGAGGAGATGATAGAGAACAGATTGCTGAGAAGATTGTGCAGAAAATCATGGGAGGAAAGAGAGCTGGTAGACGACGCCCACCAACTGTTTGATAAAATGATAGAGAAGAAAGTTTCTGTAATGGATCCTTGTACGAGGAGTATGTTGATTAGGGCTTTTTGCTTGGGAGGAAAGACGGAGGAAGCTTTGATTCATTTGAAGGAGATGATTGCAGAGGGTTTTACTCCCAGGACGATTACATTTAACAATGTGATTCAAGCATTGTGTTTGGAAGGGAAGGTTGAGGAGGCAATTAGTGTTTTAGTTTTCATGTATGAAGAACACAAAATCCCAAGTAGAACATCCTATGATTTCCTCATTAAAGAGTTGAACAGCCAAGGAGGTTTCACGGCTGCTTGTGTTGTCTATGCTGCTGCAATCAAACAACGTGTATTTATCCATATAAAACCTCAACAATCAAGTAATTAATATATGTTCAAAATGAATTTCTCTTTTGTCTTTAAGCACCAAGAGTGTCTTCGAGTAAGCTTTTCTATTGAACCGAGATCAAATGTTTATTTGGACAATGTAAGAGCAAACTCTCCAATATCAATCAATCTATTAGTGCATTTAGGATTTTAGTTGGATAATTTTAAAGGTTCATCTTCCTAAATTATTATTTAGAATTTTAACTCAATGATTTTAAGGGCATATTAAAGTATTACATTTAAGATTTTATTCTCAAGAGTGTGGTTAATAAGAATCGAACTCAATAATCAATACATATAAAACTATGCGTAATTTTATTGAAAAAATAAGTATGATTCTTTTTAATTATATTTAATAATAAAAACAAACAAACAAACAGTCGTTGTATTAAATATTTATCTACTTCTTTCTCTATTATCTTCGAGTTAGGTTTCAATATATTAAAATACGATCATACATCAACATAGTGTATTTAAAATTTTAGTTAGGTGATTTAAGAATATATTTTGTTATATTAACAATAGTGCATTTAGAATTTACTGTTAAAATATTAGGGACAAAAATGTAATCCAATAATCAATATAAGAAACATATATTTTATCAACTATACTAACAATCACATTTTCATACAAAATTAAAGATAAATAATTAATATAGTCAAATATTTCCTAATTATCTTGGAGTTAGGTCTTGATGCAATGAGACTAAACTCTTATTAACAATCTTAAAAGTGTATAATAATATCTAATCAGGTAACTTTAAACTAACAGTTTCTATTGTATTATAATAATTGTTTTCAATTAAATCAGGCCCAAATTGTGAGCCCATTAGGCCCAAAACTTAATCGTCTGGTCCATTCGCCCGCTTTGACAGGACACGAGACAAACAGCGCCGTACAGTCTTCCTCTGTGGAACAAGGCCTATGTCTATCCTCCCAATTTCCAATCAACCTCTATACGATTTCAAACATTGCAAGATATCTCAGACCTAAATTCTAATTTAATCTTCATTTTATTCTTCTTCGTCTTTGTATAATCCCATACATATCTTTTTCTTTTTTTTTTTTCTCATTTATTTGCGTGAATTATAAGCTTGAAAGTTTGTATGTTTTTTTTTTTTTTTTCTTTCTTTGTAATTGTTGCTTTTCATACGACGCCTGACAACAACTGATAATTTTTCTGGAGTATGACCTTGTCGATCCTGCTATTCGGATCCGGAGCCGGATCAGTTGACATGAACCTAATCTCCACAGGCTGAGAAGTCAAGTTTGCGGATCTCAATCAGGTTATGATGGAAAAAAATGGAGTCTGGGCAGTGTTTCTCACAGTCTTGTTTGTTGCAGATGTTGCCAATGCTTCCTTGTTTTATCGGAAGTTAGCAGAGGAAGCTCCAAAGAATAATTCTTCTTCAACGCCAGTAAGTATTTCCAGTTCTCGTCTTCTCCAAATAGAGCTGCTTGTTGTTTTGCTTTTGTCTGTTTGATGAATTAAATTTATCTTTATACAACTGAATTAAGTTAAAATATTATCCGTTTCTGCTTCAGGTTCCTCCATCTCCGAGTCCTATATCGGCCGGCAACAACTTGGATCCTAAAGCGACTGTTCATAATAAATCCAACGACCAAGATCCCAAAAAAGTTCCGGTCCCCGATAATAATTCAACTAAATTGGATCCAAGTCGGTCAAATACCACCGATTCTGCGACTCCAGCTCCTCAACATCAATCAGATAATACAAAAGGCTCCAGTAAAACTGACCCGGCAGTTCCACCTCACCAAAACCTAACGGATAATCAGAATGGGAACAATGAAAAAGGGTCAAGTAAAGCACCTCCTCAAGCCAAAAGAGACAATGGGTCGAGCAAAACGGACTCAGTGAGTCAACCTGCTCAACAAAAGAAGGGTTCGAGTAACAAGGATTCTGAAACTCCACCTCCTTCTAACACAAGGGATGACGGGATAAGCACTAAGAAGAATGATGATAAAATGAAGCCACAGATGGATAGTCTTCAAAACTGCTCTGGGATGCCTAACAGGTGCAGGGACGAGAAGAATTTGGTTGCCTGCATCCAAACCCCACAAAGTGGTAATTTTATATTGCTAATGCTAATGCGGATTTTCTTTTTTGACCCAATAATATTGTGTTTGTGATGAGTCTACTCTCTGGAGAAAACATGCTGCTATTGTAGAATAGTAATCTGAAGTTCTACATGCCCAAAAGTGTAAGCTTTTATTAACAGGGGCTTTCTTCATGTTATTACTGGAACTATTACCTATTGAAACTACTAGCAATGCAGTAAAATGTTAATCTTAAAGTAAAAATAAATATGTTTTCGAAGGGATATAGATTTCGCACTCCATTATATTTCTATTTTAGCATTATTACTTTAGGAGGAGAGAGAGATAAAGCTTGTGCACTCCAAATGGGGAAAAAGGAAAATGGTTGTGCAGGGTCTTACATTCCTTTGAGAGATAAGCTGCATGATTGCATGACTTGTGGCTGCAAGTGAATATATGTGCCAATTCTCAATACTTAGTAGATGGTAGCCTTCGCTTCCAGCTAGGTTGCAGTTATATGGAACACTTCTTTCACCTGAGACAAGTAGAAATTTCAATGTTCACCAAGTAGTCTTCATAGTTATGAAGCTAGGTAGTTTCAGGTGGGGGTCAATAAGAAGCATCTAAACTGTAGCCTTGTATATCCAGTTCATGCTGAAAATGTTACAATCTGATATTAGTTTGAAGCTGTTTGGCTTTGATCACTATTTAGTGTGAACCGTACTTGCTGTATATTTCAGGAGCTCTGTTTTGTACCATGGATATGTTCCCAACCATGCTGTAAATTCTGATAACTGTAATGGTACTACTGTCTGGCCCTTGAACTGGTCAGTCACCAGGGCTTGAATAGATTGATTGTGATTGGTGTAGACCATAGGTTCAATTCTGCCAGTCAAAAAGAGAGGCAAATGTAATAGATCCATATTAATGGGCTCGTTTTTTTACATTTCTTTTAAATTTTCTTCATGTGCTCAATAATTTGGATGTTCTTTTTAAATTAATCTTTTTATGTATCTTTGAATAATTATTGATGGATCATGATGGTAGTACTAGATTTTTTTTTTTAAATAAAAGTGAGAAATTTATATTAATGTGAGAGTGCGAAGGGGGGGAGGCAACCCATGTACAAGAGAAAGAAAAAGAATTTACAGATTTATGAGTATATCTACAATAGATCCAAAATCTTCTAAGCTATCTAGATTATGGCCAAGAATAGTTGATCGAAAGAAATGGAACCATCTATCCTTGATAGTGTCAAAATCAGTAACCTGGCCCTAAAAAATTCTGTTATTTCTTTCATTCCACATCACCCAAATAATGGAGAGTGGGATGAGTCTACGGCACCTATGTTTCGTTCTAATCCCCTCCCAAGCAAGAAATTCATCTTTGACAGATCCGGCAATGACCCAAGGGATGCCCAGAACATTATAGATCATTGACCAAAGCTTAAAAGAAATCGGGCACCAAGTAGTAAGTGATTGCAAATCTCAAAATTCTGCATGCACAGTGAACATCTGTTAGCCAAGCTTAGACCTCTCTTCATTAGATTATCTACAGTAAAAATTCTGCCTTGGCTGCCTTCCAGGCAAAAAAAGAGATTCTGGGAGGGGCTAGAGATTTCCATATCAATTTGGAAGGAAAATTGCGCAGGCCATCGTTCTGATCACCCACCAAAAATCTGTAAAAGGACTTAGTTGAGAAGACAGTGTTTTTGTTCAGGACCCAGCTAAGCCTGTCATCATTAGAGTTAAGGTGAATACTGGCCAGAAGCTGAAGGAGGTTCTCATACTCTTGCAACTCTCAATCTGGTAAATTCTTGGTCACCACCACATTCCAAGTGGAAGGATAATTGTCCCCATAAATATCCTTAATAAGAATATTTCTGTCCTTCGCAATGGCATAAATTAAAGTGAACCTCTAATGGTAGTAGTAGAATTAGGAGGGTATTAGGAGACTAGTTTAATTTTTTATAATATTAGTAGCATTAGTATTTCATTTTTATGCTTTAGATACTTTTTAGTTTCTGGAAGATTTCCTAATTATAATCACACTACAACAAAATTGAGATGGTGTATTTTTTATCTTTTTTCTTCTTTTTTGTCAAGATGAACTTTTAAGCTACAAAATTTTAAATTTTTTTACTTGGTTGATACTTAATAAACAATATCTTATAAACTCTTGAAAAAGATATTCTTTGAAAGCTGTTGAGAGGTACCTTTTCTTTTTAAGTTTATTTTAGAGAGCTTAAACTCTCTAAAAACACTTTTATTAGCCAAGGAAAAGAACCAAATAACCCTTAACAGTTTTAAGAATTCTATTTCTGTATCCCTAATTACACAATATTTCCCATTCTTCTTTTTAGATGTGTTATTTTTTGTCATGTTAACAGAACTGACAACTTATAAATTATATTTTTACGGAATATATAAATTAGGTAATAAAGCTTACAAGTTTTTGTTACTCAAATACTTTAACAAGTTTTTATTAAAAAAATTGTATCATCTTGTACACCAAAGACTTATAAGCTCCTAGTTTTTAAGGTGAGTCAAACACCCCCTGGAGCACTATAAATACCTCTATAGCATTACTAAAAATATTTGAAGAAAGTATTTTAAGGATTTTCTCAATATCTTGATTGTTTGATGTAATCAACTCTTAAGCATGATGCTTAAGTAGGTATGGCATCTAAAGTATGTTATTATAAATGAGAATTGATCTTAAGTCCTATATCACTTATACGTTGAATCTTAAAACTGTAAACCTTAAGTTAAAGTTTGTGGAGAAATGAAACTATTTGTTTTAGAGATTTTGGTCTCTGGAACGTGGTCACTAGGAGAAATTAGGTCGAGATTTTGAAATGTGTTATAAAGATAATAACAATGATTTGTGACCAAGCAATTGATTTTTACTAATTTTTAGTAGCTCCTAATCTCCATTGAAAAATGCATTTCTCTGCTTTTT